TTGGTGTGCTTGACTGGCCAGCAAACTCACCAGACCTGAACCCCATAGAGGATTTATGGGGTATTGTCAAGAGGAAAATGAGAAATGAGAAACAAAATAATGCAGATGAGCTGAAGGCCACTGTCAAAGAAACCTGGGCTTCCATACCACCTCAGCAGTGCCATAGACTGATCACCTCCATGCCACGCCGAATTGACGCAGTAATTAAAGCAAAGAGAGCCTCTGCCAAGTATTGAGTATATATACAGTAAAAGAACATACTTTCCAGAAGCCCAACAATTCACTAAAATTGTTTTTTATAGGTCTTATGAGGTATTCTAATTTATTGAGATAAGTGAATTGGTAGGTTTTTGTTAAATGTGAGCAGTCATCACAATTAAAAGACCCAATGGCTTAAACTACTTCATTCTGTGTGTACTGAATGTATATAATACACGAGTTTCATTATTTGAGTTGAATTACCGAAATAAATGGACTTTTCCACAATATTGTAATTTATTGAGCTGCACCTGTACAGTTGTGTGACCAATGACAATGAACAAATTGAATGAGAAAATAGAAAGTACTATTTAAAAGTACACTACACTACCACATGCTCTAAGACAAACATTCAGAGTTGGCAGTAACATGTCAAAGCATGCATAAATGTTGGCACACCACTTTAAATGCAGGATACAGGATTTCTCCCTGTCAGATTTGTTGCGTTAACCAGTTCTTGTTACCATGCTAACTCTGAGAGACGAGACAGTCCAAGTAACTTCAAAACAGTGCTGATTTATTCAAAGGATCACAGGTAAAATTAACATTACACGCTCAGGTATCTTGCACCTCCAAACTGCTCGCAGGCAGATGTAAGATGAAAGACCCTGAACCCACCAGGCCTATACATTATATCCCCTCGGTTGGGCTAGCCCCATACTACACAGAAACGTCAACCGAGACGTCTCTGTTACCAGCTTTGCAGCTGGCCATAGCAGTAGTCAAAACATGAAGCAAATCAATGTGTGTGTGTCTGTTGATTAAGTGGTGTGTAGCTAAAAACATTCTCACACGACCTATAGTGACATTTCATGACATTAAACATAAGAACATATTATGGTTAAGGCTAAAGTTATACACATCATAATAATAATATTAAACATCCTGTCTGCTGACAGTCATCAACTTTTCTCCCTAGTTATCCTTGACCAGATGCACCCTGTAGAAACTTATAAGCAGGCCTAAGCATTTAACAGTCTAACTAGACATCCTATCTCCACTAAACATTTCTAATACTTAAAGTATCTAACCAATATCTATCTGACTAAAAATACCTAACAGTTATTGCAGGGTTCTCAATTGCTCTTCAGTCAAAAATGTTCTATTGGTTGGCCATTGTGAACAAAGCCCAAGGTCAGTCCACAGCATGCTGTTATTGTCCCAAACAGCTTTATTCAATTTCCCTGGAGACCAGAGAGCACAAAATCTTTTCTGGATGGTTGTTGCAGTGACTCAGATATTACTATTCAATATGAACAGATCAGAAGCCATGACACACACTTCCCCTCTGCCTGCTGACTGTGCAAGAGGAGGTGAAAGACAGACTGTGTTTCTCTAAGTGGATGATAATTAGAATTGGGTGCACTCCTCACTGAGGACGGACGTTGTAGGAGAAATGGCAGACGTTGCATAAGAGCTCCGAGTGCTCATTTGAGTCATTGAAATTCTCACTACATCAGCTGGGGCATAAAGGTGGTGATGGGCCATTTACGGTTAACGTATGTGTAAGTCAGTCCTAATGAAGACTGCTGCTTTCACGAAGGAGTTAAGGTCATTATTTTTTATTTATTTTTTATAGCCAGTGGCATGCAGTGCACCTAGCATTAGGGACAATACATTATTATTCAAATGACAGGCTTGTTAGTTAGGCTTCAGTAATGAAGTTCAAGCCAATAACTCATTTTTTATTTAACTTGAATTTATAAAAACAGCTGAGTCAGTCTTGTCCCATACTTTACTGCAGCCTTTACATCACTGTATCATTGGTCAAGTCTTGTAATGATGTAATTTAAACAATTAACAAATAATAGTTGTCAGGTTTGCTCGGCTACACCTGCTTTTTCTCACTTCTTCTGTCTTGGCTCAGTCCACCTCACACGCCTGCCACCTGTTTCCTTAATTATCACCAGCTGCATTTACTCAGTCCCCCACCTTATTTATACCCGGCTCACTTTTCACTCCCTGCCAGTTCGTTCTCAGGCTATTTTCTTTGTCCTCTCCATAGATTACTATTTCGTTGCTGTTTTGCCTTAATCTGGTACCCATTTGTTATCCCCCTAGACTTCCATTCGTTACCTTTTCTAGCCAGCTCCTATTCTCTGCATGGACTGTTTCCTTTGGACTTTGGCTCCACTCTACCCTCCCAGACAGGTGGATCCACAGTCACCAATTTGTCTGTCAGTTCCAACGCCTGTGTTTTTTCCAGTAGCCACCATCACCCACCGACCAGCCCAGGAGTGACCCCGCGACGCAGCTCGGCCCACCTCATCTATCTTCACCTCCTGCTGCTGGTCGACACCTGGTCACTCATATCATTCATTATCCACGTACTTGTTTTGTCTATACACTGCACTGTAAATAATAAACCGCAGCTTGCACCGAAGTCGGCTACCTGGGTCCGCCTCTCATTACTGCTCGCTTGCTCACTTCAGTGTGCGAACATGTTCTAACAGAATGAACTGGCCAATATGGACCCTGCCGACTCCGGTGCAAGCAGTGTGCCATCTGTCACCTCATGAGACACGCATGGACAGGATGGCTCAGGCACTGCAGCAACAGCACAATGACATTACAGCGCTAACACAGCAGGTAGCCCAACTCACCACAATGTTGCTTACCTCCACACGGTCCCTCTGCTACTCCATTACAGTTACCACGTTCTGCCACCTGTGCTGCCAGTCCCCGCAGAGATCCACACATACCGGAGTCCCCACCCCTGTAAAATACCTCACAGTATAGACAAAGAAAAAACAGTGCTGCTGGAAAAAATTGCTTCACAAGCACACACCCACATGAAAACGGATCCCCGAATGTCTTCGCAGTGAGAGAAGTACAAGGAAGGCCATCCATACTTGCATTTCAAGACTTTCATAAGGCTGTGGTTCAGGTTAGGGAAGAGGTTAAAATTGTATTCAGAGATTTTTGACTGCATCAGGGCAAAAAGAGGAAAGTAAAACCTCACGACATGAATGCTGATCAGCATAGCAAGTTGATAAAATAAGCTCCATTCTCTTTGCTGCTGCAAATGTCCACATACTGTATGGGTCTTTATCTCTGGTTTAGTGTAATGGCTCTGGAAAGTCTGAACATTTCTGAATCTGTCTTGTATTGACTTCTACTCTTCCAGCTGGCACAGAGGACGCGAATAGAGGGAGGGAGTTATGTCACAATAAAAAAGGAAATTTATAAGAAGTCAGAAAAAAGCATGTTAGGTCACAAAATACTCATAACTGCAATCCGTTCAGTGACTGGAACTGTGTTCCCATTGTAATGCAACTTTAGGACTGCAAGTGAAAGTGGCCCAAAGGGAAAGTCACTCCGGATGGTCTTTTGGGCCACTGTTTTCACCCAGACTGAAATATCTTGACAAATAATAGACAGACCCCATAAAATTTGTTTTGATCTTTCAGTCTTCCTAGATGATAGATCGACTTTGGTGAGTTTATGACAATACATCTAGCACCATCATCAGGTCCCCTTTAACATGTCCAGTATTTTGGTTTATGACCAATTATCTGCACATCCCCCTTGTTAGGACGTGTCACCCAGATCAGAAATCATTTGCTTTTCTACAGTTATGACTACTGATGCTGTTCAGTCCAGCTACTGTATACAAGAAACCAGACTGACAAATACCAACAGGAGGCATCAGCAGTTTAATACATGCAAGCCTCCTCACTGTTTTCGCTCATTCCCATAAACCCCATGGAAACTGTTGATGGTTTTCGGACAGTGTTTAGGATTTGTATTCGGTGGAATGTCCTCAGTAAAATTGTTGGTCTAAAGACACAGGGTGTGCTGTTCAGGTTGTAAAGCTCCTTGAGACATTTTTGTGTTATTGGGCTAAATGACTAAATAAATCTGATTTGACCTGACGTACTGCAATACCAACATGGGATTGTGTGGCTTTGTATGTGTTCAGGACTATGACCTGAGTCAGCTGCAGCAGCCTGATGCCCTGGAGCCAGAGTGTGTCAAAGTGGGGATCAGACGTCTGGATGAAAGGCCCCTCCATCATGATCACCAGTACCCCCTCCGCTCTGCTGCTCCCCACCCAGGAGATATAGGAGACTTCATCCATGAGGTATGAATACATCTGGGATTGCATAAACGTCATGCTGGTTTTTTTTCCTATTTAAACATCTAGGCAGAAGCTTTTTGTAAAATGTCAGTGTTCTTGTCATTGTAAACCACCAGGTCTGAGCACAGCCATGCTACCTGAGCTGAAAAAACTTCACCTCTCATCCAAGAGGCTTCATCAGTTCTGACTGACTGGTGTTGAGCCAGAGATATTTATCCCCCTCTGTGATGTTTCAGTCCTTTGATGGCCAACACTGTCCCTTGATTTGATTTGATTTTGATTTGATTTATTTATTCTTTCAAACATGTAACAACAGTCAGTATGTAATCACACATAATTCCAGACATGTCCACAAAAATATTTTCAATTTACTTATACCTAGTACATGCTTGAACGTAGTAGGAAGAAGTTAGACTTATCTAGTCCTACCCCCTAACATCATCTTATCATCAGTGGTTTGCAAGCAGTATTACTACATGGATACATATTCTACATCCACATTCCCGTCTGATTAATCATTAAGCCTGTTCTTGCCCATATCTTGATTGACACATACCTTTATATCTGTGTTTAAACTCATCAATATTCTTACTGCTTTTTATGTCCACACTTAAATTATTCCATAGTTTTACTCCACTTATCGAAATACAGAATCTTTTTTTGGTTGTACGTATAGCATGAATTTTATAATTTAACTGACCCCTTAAATTGTATCCCCCTTCCCTTTCATCAAATAGTTTTTGAATACCACCAGGTAATAAATCTTTCCTGGCTTTATACATAAACACAGCAGTCTTATATCCCACTAAATC